TATATATATATATATATATATATATATATATATATATATATATACTATTATTGTTGACACTTTTTTAAACACCAAAATGTAACAGGTATAGTATAAAGAAAATTAACAATAATATCCCCAGTCTTTTACATATATAAGCAAGCTCACACAAGTATACTGTCATTTTCTTGTCTCTTTTATTATATCAAAATACAAAACATTTTTGAAGCAGGGAAAAAAATTACATGGGTCTAGCATCTGAAAATGTCAATGAGCTGTACCAGTACTGAGTGATGTGAACCGAAGTGTTGAGGGTGAGGTCAGTATCTACTACTGTAGTCTTTTTTTAAATAGTTATTATTATAATTTTTTCTTTATTTATATACTTGGCAGCTCCATGTGAATCTATTCTATCTGAACTATATATGTAAAATCTATAACCTTAGTCTTGATTAATTTAAATCTGATTCTGATTCTCTTTTTTTAAAACAAACAGCATCATTTCCTTGCTCCACTGTGTCTGAGGTTGTGTAGCTGCTAGTCACTTTAGAGCTACTGGAGAATGAAAAACCGTAGCACTCAAAGTATTGATTGTAACTCATAATGTAAGAGCAACCATTACAGAACGGTGAAATTAATAAGAGCACTGTACAAGAGAGGTAAACAGAGTTAACCCTATGGGTGCCTTTTCAAATTTCATTTATCTGAAACATGAAAGCACATCAAAACAATACAGCAAAGCTATTGGACAGCAGTGACAACAATGCAAATGAGATTAAGTGATACAGAACAAAGTGGATGAGCACATTCCTTAATATGTTGTTCAACATGTCAGATAATAACATTCATCCGGTAATATAGAATAAGAAATGACACTTTTGAAAAAGTAGTTATTTATATATATATATATATATATATAGCAAACCATCCGAAAAGAAAATATTTTATAACAACGACACACTATAAAATCCTGGTATTGTTTATGATTTCAGATTACAATTTGATGTTTAACTAATTTTAGTTTCTGTGCAGGCAAATGTTGAGAGTGTATTGAAACCCACATCAATGGAAAGTAATGGAATATTAATGCCATTTAAATTGACTCTGAATGAGGTCGTATTGTGATGTGCAAATCTGCCAATGATTCTACAAATGAAATTAAAAGACACTGTGATGGTGCAAATGTATTACATCAGTACAACCTATGTTGAAGCTACCAAAAGGGTTAACATTGTCATTATTAACATTATTCTACCAAAAAAAAGCAAGAAAATAATCAAATAACAAATGAAGGCCCACAACAAAAATGCCTTTTGAAAAAAAAAAGGCCAAATTAAAACTGCCAAAACTACGTTGCACCAAAAATCTAATCTCTTATAGTTTGTTTTCCTGACTGCCAAGTGTCTGGTTCCAGTATTCTAAATGCCGAAGCTCATTTCTAGTTTTTGGTAGCACATTCAGGTAACAAAGTACTTTTTTTCAGGTATTCATGTGTAATTTTATCTCATTTACTCACTTACAGGAAAGATGGTAAGAAATATGAGGCGCAGAGTTATCTCTGGTCTGGACCACAAAATAGATCAGCAATAGCACCAAGTCATGATATGTTCAATGGTATGGCTGCTTACACACCACACTGAGGTCTCTAGAAAAGATTACGGTGATTGCTAGAATACATACCTACAAAAGCAGTTCGCATCATTTGCTATTCGCTAATGACCACACCTTGCTAACATGAGCATCTAACAGCAGAAAGAACATATACTGTATTTCTCCATAAACAAGACAGCTAAATTGGAACAAATCTTCTCGGTTTTTCTCGCCGTACAAAATTAAAGATTCCCAATTCGCCTTTATTACGTAACTATAAATATCTGTTATTTATACATACAGTACACTGTCAAAATATTTCTACTGGTACAGTCTGTTGACTATAAGAATACAGAATACATACGTATATCTTGGACTGTGCTGCTATACATATTGCAGGTGCCACACAATCTACCCCAACAATAGACCATCAAACGCCGTTTTAGTTAGCAGACACAAGACCTTGTGCTGACTGGTCAAACAGCACTGTAGGTGGAATAAATAAAATCCATCTCTGCAGGTATATTTGACTCGCAAAATTCAGTAACTGTGAACCATTTTTCAGTAACCATTTTTTGATGCAAATTTCTGTTGTATGATAGATTTCTTTATGCGCCAAAGTAATGATAATGAGAATACAGTTCATTTTACATAGACAAGATTCTCTAAAAATGAGCATGAATCAATTATGAAACAATATTCAACACATGCTTCCTTTGGAAATGAGAATTGACATTGAGAACGTGAGCAGAAATGTCACTTTAATATAGGTTTTTATCTCTCATTGTATATTGTGTCGTCACATTTTTCTTTATATTTTGTATTGCTTGAACCAGAGCTGTACTGTATGACAATGAAACACGGAAATAATGGCCAAAAATAACAGATAACACCTTCCACTTTGGTTTGCGATTCTAATAGCATGTGTAAGCTTTAATGTTATTCCATATATTTATATATCTAAAAGTGAAGGCCTGCTACATGTTTCCATAAACCACTGAGACAGACTGTAAAAACAGCCACAGTGTACCACATATTCTCATTTACAAAAAAATATATATTGCATGACTTGCATTTTTTATTTACACCTTGTGGTAGTTCTGGTATGTGTGTCTGTTGTGGAGCTGGTGTCCTGAAAATCCCTATGTTTCCTGCAGGCTCATGGTGCACTAAGTGCCACGTGAGGACATGACCGCCACACTCTCTCGTCCTCCACATTGTGCTGATTCCATGCTTTCTCCCTCTCGATCTGAGACTGTGTACTAAAACCATGAGCAGCATGATTATTCATATGCTTTTTGTATCCCTGATGTACTATAAGAGGTCATCTTTTGAGAGGTTAACTTATAGGTTAGTTTGTTAACTCATTAGTGGCATCAATAATCAGAAAAGAGTTGTATATTTGTACATGGATACATAATATATGCAACTGTCATGAATAAAAACAAAAGGAAATGAATGAACACACACACACACACACACACACACACACACAAAATGCATATGCCTGTTTAGAATCTGAAGTGGCGCTAAGCACTTTTCCACATAGTTTTTATAAATGTGAATGTTGGCTCGGATTTTGTGTTATAAATAAGGCCCCAGAACTGAGACATTAAGGCAGTAAGGGTCATTTTAAGGGTTAAACCGCTCTGAATTTCATCTGCTCCGACTGTTAAAACTGTACTAAAGGCTGTGTTGGGTGTGCAATGCATTGTGTTTGTGTAACATTATTTTTTACAATTATTTTTGAAAGTGCACATGAATTCATGTCATCGCTCTATTCATCAAACTATCATACATAAGTTACTATTTCTTTTAGGGTGGTGAAGAAAAACTTGTTTGTACCTCTGTTAAGTGGTGACATTGTGATGTTAAAAACAAAAAGTCTCATTATTTACCCATCTCATGTTTTTTACTTTCTTCTGTGAAAGCAAAAGATATTTAAAAAAATACTTTTACAATGAAAGTCGATGGAGTTTGATGTAATTTTGGATTCCGCTGAACAGAAACATTCTTCAAAATACCTTCTTCTTTTTTTACTGGAACAACATGAAGGTGAGTAAATGACAGAATTATGCATCTATACATGGCAGTTTTTTTTTGTGTGCAATGTTCTTCTCTGTTGAAATGAAATAATAAATATAATAAACAATTATAATCATTAAATAATAATATTTCATTATAAGTAAATAAATAATAGTATACCTTGTTGCACCCATATTATGATTATCGGTTCAGTAACATTCAGCAAAATCCCAAAGTCGTGCTAAAAAAGGTAACAAATACAAATCTATTCTTTATTATGTTTGTTTGTTTTAGTGCTGTCAAATGATTCATCGCATCCAAAATAAAAGTGTTTGTTTACATAATATATGTGTATTGTGTATATTTATTATGTATTTATATAAATACACACGCATACAGCATATATTTTGAAAATATTTACATTTATATATTTATATTCATATAATTTATATCATATATAAATATATTTACTATATAAAAGTAACATATTTGCTTAAATATAAACATGCATGTGTGTGTATTTATACATAATAAATATACACAGTACACACGTGACACATATACGTATATTATGCAAACAAAAACGTTTATTTTGGATGTGATTAATCGTTTGACAGCACTTGTTTGTTTATTTCTTTCTTAACGCCAATCCAGCATCTATTGCTATATTCATGGCGAGAACCAGTTAATCCATACACAAGTCGATCCATACACAAGTCTTGTCTTTACACACACGTCCGGGGACAATTTAAAATGTTCAATTAACCTAACCTGCATGTCTTTGGGCCGTGGGAGGAAACCGGAGGACCCGGCATAAACCCACACAGACACAGGAAGAACATGCAAACTCGGGCTCGAACTGGGAACCTTCTTGCTGTGAGACAACAATGCTAACCACCAAGCCACTGTTCCGCCCATTTCTTATGTAAACATGCATATAATAAAACAGGGTTACACTCTCAAAAACTTCTCTAGACCTTCATAACTTTAATTTCAAACATTTTAGCTCTTTTTCTGTGACTGGAAGCAAACAGCTCCAATTTCGGCATAAATCAGCATCCAAACAGCTTCTGCAACTAAACAATCAACAGACCAGCTAAAACCGGTTTGCCTATGAGTAAAGCATATTTCATTCCAAGATGAAGTAATATTCAGGCATTTGCCAGTTCTGCAAAATGTGCACTTTCTTGTAAGTTGCTTTGGTAAGCAAGTGTCCGCTCTGAACATAAATGTGAATGTGATGTAAACATAAGAAAGAACGTGTCATGAAAAAACTAGAGGATGCAAAGCGAAACATGCTGCTAGGATATGAGATGATGATAAAAAAACAAAACAAAGGAACAGAGATTTACTAGGATGTTGTTTTATTATAAATTATGCACCTCAGAGAATGATCTGGAATGGAAAAATGCTAATCTTGAGATGTTTTGTCAAAAGCAATAGAATGTTTTCATCACTCTTTAGATATAAATGGCATATAAGTACAGTATAATAATAAATAACCCAACTAATGCTTGAATGTATCTCTACCATGGCTATCATGCTACTAAAAAGATAAAGGTTAATTTCAGAATCTGTTACAATGAATCTCATCTTACACCATCCATGAGTCGAATCAAGTTAGCATTAATTACCTCTCAAAATCCCCAAACAGCTCATTTATCCGGCCGCTCTAGAGTTAGCCAATCTGTTCAACGATTGATGCTACAATAGCAGAAGTCCCCTGCAAAGCAGAATTTGAGCTAGACTGGTATCCAAAAAATGTTCACCGACCAAATAAACAAGTTGCAAATCCAACGTGAGAGTGAATGCAAGTGGACTGAATCATTTACAACACGTCAATAGCTCTTTTGGCTCAAAAATGCTCTCATGCATTCCAAACCTCATGAAAAAGTAACATATTAGAAACTGAATCCAAAATATGACAATATGTTTTATATCAATATATTCTGTTGCGTGCATATATTGGCCAATTGATTCAAAATTACTAAAATTTTATCATACATTGTGCAATATATGCTATTATATTATATAGTTTTTTTTGACATATTACAGTACATTCCTAGCATTTTGGATCGATATTATTCTCTTGTGTGAAGGCTTTAAATAAAAAAGGAACACAATATTTAGTCAATTAAATAGTTGTATATTTTTTTAGAAAGCACCATATTTTGACAATTGCCCAGTGAAATGGATCAAAAATACTTAGGATAAGCACATCTCCTGAGTGAACGAGATGATCAGTCGCCTCTATCTATATGAGTAAAGCATATTTCATTCCAAGATGAAGTAATATTCAGGCATTTGCCAGTTCTGCAAAATGTGCACTTTCTTGTAAGTTGCTTTGGTAAGCAAGTGTCCGCTCTGAACATAAATGTGAATGTGATGTAAACATAAGAAAGAACGTGTCATGAAAAAACTAGAGGATGCAAAGCGAAACATGCTGCTAGGATATGAGATGATGATAAAAAAACAAAACAAAGGAACAGAGATTTACTAGGATGTTGTTTTATTATAAATTATGCACCTCAGAGAATGATCTGGAATGGAAAAATGCTAATCTTGAGATGTTTTGTCAAAAGCAATAGAATGTTTTCATCACTCTTTAGATATAAATGGCATATAAGTACAGTATAATAATAAATAACCCAACTAATGCTTGAATGTATCTCTACCATGGCTATCATGCTACTAAAAAGATAAAGGTTAATTTCAGAATCTGTTACAATGAATCTCATCTTACACCATCCATGAGTCGAATCAAGTTAGCATTAATTACCTCTCAAAATCCCCAAACAGCTCATTTATCCGGCCGCTCTAGAGTTAGCCAATCTGTTCAACGATTGATGCTACAATAGCAGAAGTCCCCTGCAAAGCAGAATTTGAGCTAGACTGGTATCCAAAAAATGTTCACCGACCAAATAAACAAGTTGCAAATCCAACGTGAGAGTGAATGCAAGTGGACTGAATCATTTACAACACGTCAATAGCTCTTTTGGCTCAAAAATGCTCTCATGCATTTCAACCCTCATGAAAAAGTAACATTAAAAACTGAATCCAAAATATGACAATATGTTTTATATCAATATATTCTGTTGCGTGCATATATTGGCCAATTTATTCAAAATTACTAAAATTTTATAATACATTGTGCAATATATGCTATTATATTATATAGTTTTTTTTGACATATTACAGTACATTCCTAGCATTTTGGATCGATATTATTCTCTTGTGTGAAGGCTTTAAATAAAAAAGGAACACAATATTTAGTCAATTAAATAGTTGTATATTTTTTTAGAAAGCACCATATTTTGACAATTGCCCAGTGAAATGGATCAAAAATACTTAGGATAAGCACATCTCCTGAGTGAACGAGATGATCAGTCGCCTCTATCTACCTAAAACAGTGTGTTTTGACACACACAAATAGAATACCTAACTTTAGCAAGTAGGTCTCATCTAATCTGGTTACTTGATTTACAAATAAAACAAAATTACAAGTATGAACAATCAAGTCTTTGCTCAGAATGTAAAGCCATTCACACGACATACAAATGACGGCTCAATCACGGTTCGGAATCTGAGCAGGTCTCACGGCGCGACGCTAAATAAAACGTGTCGAGCTCAGAATCGCTAAAAGCTTAAAATGGTGTCTGACTCTGACAATCAATCCCCTGATCCAAATCAACATCTTCCACAAAGGTTGACCTTTTCTAATGCCTAAAAGGTGCAAAGGAGCACTTGATGCGCTGGTCTGTCATGTATAAGCTAACGTTACATCCAAACAAATGAATAAAATCTTCACTATACGGCAGCTGCGACAACAGCGTAGCTTCTCCAACCGACATGAATGCTTCCCAGCTCACAACTCGCGCTCGCTAATATTTAACGCTCCGATGCTAGTCTGTCCATATCTTTGATGACCCTCAAAACGCCACAGCAGACAGCAAAAAGTACGGTCACATTAGCGAAATTTTGGCGAAATTTCGCAGGGAGAAAAGTGTTATTGTTTATTGACAATAGTAGCAATGTACGAAGTGCAGCTCAGAAAAAGATCGCTTTCAAACTAAGCAGTCAATGTGGTGAACCTGGAGAACTTGAAAGACATCGCAAAATCTACGTCTTTGCACAAAATTACTGAACATGAGGATTTCCATTCAAACAACTGGATTCCACCCGCAAAAATTCGCCAAACAATGGTTAATGTGACTGCACTTGAAGGCTTATCAGACAGATGGTGTTGAAATCCTAAAACATCAAATAATGAGGTGTTCAGGATATGAGCTGCAGTCACATTAGCGAAATTTCTTGTCTATCGTCAATAGTGAAACAATGTATGAAGAACAGCTCACGTAGAAGTCACTTTCAAACCAAACAGCTTTTTGTTGGTCAAATCCGTGAAATCTAATGTGGGGAAATGCAAAATTACCAAACATTTAAATTCCTGTTAAAATGACTGCATTTTGCCCCGTGAAAACTTGCCGAACAACATTAAATGTGACCGCACCTAAACAGAAAGCTGCTTAGTTTGAAAGTAACTTTACATATGGCAACACTATTGATAATAGACAACAAACCATTTTTGCGCACAAAATTTTGTCGAAATATGACGGCACCTTTAAGCAGCAGCCATTATCTGCTGGAAGATCAAATTAATGATATATTATCAACAGAGTTGAGTCTGAAGACTTTTTATAGCACCTTACGTAGGCTGTTAAAATGCCTTTAATGTGGTGATTGGCCATTGGGAGGGGCATAGCCATTAACCACGCACCCATAACCCCCCCTTTAACCTGTGATCTGGAGGTCAAGGGTTTACCTTTACTTGCTTTTCGATTTGAATTTGTTTCCTAGGCTGAAGAAACAGTACACTGATCAGCCATTTGTTGCAGTTTTAGACATTTTTCAAATGTACAAGCTGACTGTACATCTGTACAAGCGATAAGACACAGAACATGCCACCTCTCGTCTGACGGCCATTACATCCCCCTTGGACAATGGCTAGCACGCTAAAATGTACATTTGCCCAGGTATGTCTGTTCAGAGAGTGAAAATACATGTCTTTCTGTAGAAAAGAAGCACCGTTGGATGATAGAAACAATAAAAACCTTTGGCCGCTGGGAATAGCCCTCTCATCCCAAAGAGATTTTCCCCCAAGGGTCTTCACAGAGGAGAGAGACAGGCGCTGGGTTGCCGTTTCTGGTTTAACAAAACAAACAAACAAAAAAAAGGCTCGAAAATGGCCTACAAAGGCAGTAGATTTCATTTTTTGTCACTTAAACGAAAAGAAAAAAAAACAAACTAAAACACAACAGGAACAAGCATTAAGGAGCCCTATTAAGGCCAATGTATGCCTTTTTATGTAAGGGGCATCGCATGTTGATGACAAAAATACTATAGTTTATAATGGCACAAAATCCTATCCTCCTCACAGTACAGTACACTTTATAGTCTTATTGATTAAGGAAGCTGTAGTATTTTTGGCATTACTATAGTACTTTCTGAATAGAGCTCGATAACCGCGAGAAGTGAGGTTGGCGTAAACAAAAAATGTCACTCACAGTAGTCACCAAGGTTTTGCTTCAGTGCAAGTTTGTGTTCAAAAAGTGAAGAAGGATATAGCAGCTTCTGTACATATGTTTATCAAAAATGGCATTGGAATGAAATGTTCCCTTATTCAAATGGTTGCCATTGCCATCCAAGCCTGTGTCTTTGCCTGTACTGTAGCTTTAACAGATGAATTGTTGTGCTTTGTAGAAAGGTGTTTCCATTTTCTCCTCAAATGTGGAGAGGGAGTATTAGTATTAGTGTGTGAGTAGACAACACTTGCAACATCTCAAACGCACGCATAATCATGTAATACCATCACTATCAGCCATGGTGCTAATATATGTAAAAAAGTAATATGCTACCATTTAAAAAATGTGGGGTCAGTAAGATTTTTTAAAGGAAATCAATACTTTTATTTAGCATGGATACATTTAAAATGATCAAAAGTGACAGGCATTTATTATGTCACAAAATACTTCTAATTTAAATAAATGCTGTTCTTTTCATCATCAAAAAATTGTGAAAAAAATCATGGTTTTCACAGAAGTATTCAACAGTACAACTGTTTTCAACAATATGAAATGTTTCTTAAGCACCAAATCAACATACTGAAATGATTTCTGAAAGATCACGTGACACTGAAGACTGCAGTAATGGCTGCTGAAAATTCAGCTTTGCAATCATTAGCATTATAAACTATACTACAATAAAAACGGTTATTTTAAATTGTAATAATATTTTTGTTTTTACTGTATTTTTGATCAAATAAATGTAGTCTTGGTAAGTATAAGAGATTACTTTCAAAAACACTTGAAAATCATACTGACCTCAAACTTTTGAATGGTAGTGTACAGTGCACTTTTCATGGATGGTTTGCTAATATGTCCGAAATTTGCACTGTGGAATGTCATATTTGAAAATACAACAAATGTTTGGATTGTTAACGTCTACTGTGTTTGTCAGTATAGCAGCACTGAGATTGTGGTGTGTTTGAGGTATACCTGTGAAAACCCTGTGATCTGCTAGATATGGTCGAGACTGTTGGCAGAATGAAACAGAAGCTTGCCAGCTGTGCTCTTATTAGATGCACCATCTGATAAGAGTCACTAAATCCCAAAGGTAAGTTGAGGCATATAAGATATTCTTTTTAATCTGCTCAAGATGACCGATCCTTCTGAATTTGAGGTAAATGGACTAGAGCAAAACCTTGGAGCACAAGCATTTTCTTGTGATACATTGAGCGTAAACGAAAAGAGAAGAGGAGTAAACCACTGGAGGCGGGTGTGGACTTGAAGACGTTGGCTGGCTGAGCAAAGGTGGAAGGAGCTCAGAGTTTGGGGAGAGTGTGGCCTGTAATCTCTGGGACTTCAGAGGAGAGTGGCGTGGTCTGGGTCTGCTGTGTCCATACTAGCCAAAATGGCTTTCTGGTCATCTCGGGGCGGGCGGCGGTACAGCAGAGCGGAGAAGCGGGCATACGGGTCCTGGCGAGTCAACTTTTTCTTCTTCTTGCGGAGGTAGAGAGCTTCTTCTGGCTGGAGGACCTGAGAGGTGTGGGGCTGCTGGGTCTGAGAGGGGGGCACACCTGTACAGAGAGAAAGGCTGATGAGCACATGAGGACAGGTGTGCTAAAAGTAAGGCAAGATGCTAAAGGTGGAGAAACCAGTAGCAAAAAATTTCAGATCTCTCCCGAGTGCCTAACTGAAACCAGTGCTACTTTCATGCCTCTGTATCATACTGCGGACTTGCTCTTTCTTGTTTTGCATACGAAAACATAAATGCAACTGGTGCCATCTTGCATCTCAGTTATTGCTTGTAGTGAAAATTTCAGAGGATTTCCGTTTTAGTATTGCTATTGTTACAGTTGTTATATAACAATAGCAATACTTGTCAGTAAGTTTTTGAAAGAAGTCTCTTATGCTCACCAAGCCTGCATTTATATATCTACACAGTTGTGGAATATTATTACTATTTAAAACAATTGTTTTAAATACATGTAACTTACTCCTGTGATGGCAAGCTGAATTTTCTACAGCCATTATTCCTGACACTTTCAGTGTCACATGATTCTTCAGAAATCATTCTAATATGATGATTTTGTGCTCAAGAATAATTTCTTATTATCAATGTTGAAAACAGTTGTGTTGTTTAATATTTTTGTGGAAATTGAGAATTTAATGAATAAAAAAAATCGACTTTTAATAACTTTTATTTGAAATATAAATCTTTTGCAACATAAAAGTCTTTACTGTCACATTTTACTACTGTCACAATCTTACTGATCCCAAACTTCTGAATAGTACTGTGCATTAGTACAGTGGTGGCCAAAAAAACACTAGGCATATTCAAGAGGTTTCGGGTGTTTTTTGTTGTATTTGCCATTACAATACCCATAAAACGAACTATTGCTGGAACTACCTGCGACGGAAGGAATCTGCTGGAACACTGAAAATGATGGACTCCCCGTCAAAGTCTGGACCTCAACCCCATCGAGCAAATTTGGGATGAGTTGGAAAATAAACTGGACAGATCTATTGTACATTCAAAGGAAAACCTTTGGCATGAGTTGCAGAAGGCATGGGATAACATTACTGTTGAAGTTCTCAGGAAATATATTGATACTATGCCAGAGAGATGTGCTGCTATTATTGCTGCAAAAGGTGGACATACCAAATATAATAAAGTGGATAAAAGCAGTATGACTCACTTCATCTGAAATTCTGAAATAAAATCATGTTTTGGAGGCAAAAATCTGTCAGGTGTTCTAACAATTTTGGCCACAACCGTATATATATATATATATATACTGTATGTGTGTGAATATATTGAATATATATACAGGTGCATCTCAATAAATTAGAATGTCGTGGATTTGGCTCACATTTAACAAAAACCCAAATTATACTATATAATAGACAAAATATAATTAGACTATATTTTGACTATATTTAGACTATATTTTGTGCTGATATCTTAAGGACTACCGGGGACAGCTGACTCCTAAAGTTTTTTTATATATTTCATATTCTGTGTTGTCAGTTCACAGCAGTGATAGAAATGAATCTTTTCCTGTTTAAATTGATTTTTACCTTTTATGGGCATTTTTACCTTTATAAAGCCATTTTTTTCTAAAACTGTGCAAATTCTTACATTTAATCAGTCAATTATAATAATAATACATTTAGGCTGTTACTAAACAAATTAAATCAGTTTCAACAAAATTTATCTTTGCAGAAGTTGCATATGAAGTGGCATTTAGATGTATTTACACATGTTAATGCAGCTTAGAGGGACATGGAATGCTTTAACCTGCAGTTACAAATGCATAAATAATGTTTTGATATTTTAAACATGAAATTGTTAATAATTTGAAATTATTTAAAAAATGAAAAGATACTTTAAAAATGTAAAATTAAAACAATTAAAACCACCAGTAGGTGGCAGCAAGCCACTGTTAAGGGAGTCATTTCGATTGAACCGAATCATTTAAATGGTTGATTCATTCAGGAACGAAATGCCGTCATGTTGCTCAGAGACGCAAAACAGTGCTGTGACTGTGTTTGGAATTATTTTTGTTGGCGAAATAGAGCAAAAAGAGGAAATATAGTGTCTAAAAAGTAAGCCTCTTAATGTTAATTTCTTTTTT